ATTTAAAAACAATTTTAAAACTTTTGAGAAGTTTCCTTTTAAGATCTTGTAAAACAATTCTAATCCCACCTCAAATACAGTATATAAAAACAGCACGCCTTTAAGTTTAATAAATCTGGTATATATAGGAAGTTTACATATATATATTTCATCTAAAAATTGGCTCTAGTCTCGTGCAAAAAATGCCCGAATTGGGAGGGGAGATTCAGGAATTAATTTGCGTCAGCCTAGTTTTGATTTGAACCTCAACCAATATACTGTTATGACACCTGCAAAAAGAAAGTACTATCGTCAATAGATAGATTGTTTTTGTAGCAATGTGTTATACTGTAGCAATGCACAGGCAGATAGCAGGGTCCTTTTAATGTCACGTAGGGAATTTTTTCTGCTCTGCAGTTAGTTTAAAGTGTAAGAAATTTCAGCAACAAGCATTTTCTGGTTGCTTACGAAGGCCAAAACACACTGTTCCTATATATAACGTAGGTTTTTAAGAATAAGTAGAGATGGAAATACCCCATTTTAATTTAGAGTTTATAAATTTGCAATATATTTTGGATGTCAACATGTCATCTTAAATGAAAAAATATTATCTGGCAAAAATGTCGTCGAGAAATATGTCGGTTTGTGTGTTTACAATACAATAGTACAAAGGCATGGAGTAGAAAATTTCCCCGCTTCCCAGTTAGTTTAATGTTTAAGAAAAGTTGTGTAAAAATGAAAACATTTTAACATTATCTTGTGCGCATGATCCCTACCTATTCAGCACTTACATTGTACTGAAGTCTTATGAGAGGCACCTTTTTATATACTACGGAGGATTATAAGAATAAATGGTTGGAAATTTGATTAAGAGTTAATAATTTGCATTCAAGACGTAAATAACAAAGATTCTTGGAGATAGGCGATGTTTTTCTTTAAATTTTCAACAGTTAAAAATTGATCAAAGATACAAAAATACGAGAAAAATATGATCTTGGAGAATTAAGTTACACGTTGTAATAAACACACTAGATACACTATAGATGCTTTATTCCAGTTTTATTAAATAAGCCGGAGACAGGTAAGCCTTGCGAACATGAACTGAATTAAGTACATAGTGTAAATCGCACATAACTTCACCTATTTTATCTGGAATTTAAAAAAAAGAAGATCTTTCTAGACAATGCAGATAAAGAACTCCAAATTACTGGGAGTTAAGAAAAGGCAGTCAATATTTGAAATTCATTTGTATACAATTTGAAAGGAAAAAGTTTCCGACAAAATACTTACATGTACCTTTCTGCCCAGTCATACATAAATATATATAAAGATCATATTAAATATTTTTATTAATATATTTTTTACTGGAAAATTAGGGGAAAAACATACGTCAGTTGTTAAGCTTCCATTAGCCACTTTGTACGGTATGATGATGCATCATTTGCGCAATTTTGTAAAAATATATAAAAAATTATAATAATTAAATAAATAATAACTTCCTCATATCAGATATCAAAATTGAAGAAAAAAGTGCTTTAGAAAATAGGGACATTTTTCAACACAGTCAATTCTATCCCAAATTAAATACGCACACGCCCTCTTCTTTCTTTTCCATTTTAGCTTTAAACACTAGATACTCATTTGTAAACGTCTAAAACGAAAACGATACTTATTTATCGAAGAGTTAAAGAAACTGACAATACATGCAACGAAGACTTATCGAAATAATATAATGCAGTATAAAATGTAGCATAAATCATCCTCTACTCTTTTTAACTGTTTTTCTTACATGTAACATAGTACATGATTTTTTTCCTTTCTTCTGTTCCAAACAATTAAGGATATCCGCTACTCAGCTAAGAACAATAACTCTTGAATTTATTATTCAATTAAATGTCACAGAATGAAGCTTGAAATTGAAATTTTTATACAACAATTTCTATTTTATGCCTTTCTAAGTGATTCATGGTTCGTTGAAATCTAAGAAAGGTCTTAAAGAAGTTGACATTTGCACTCCATAAAAGTATAAAAACACTATATTTTAAGAGATATATTTCCTTTCAGCTTGCCTTAGATACAAATATTTATAAGCATGAAATAAATCTGAAAGTTATCTGTGATATCTTGCAATGATGAAATACGTTGAGATAACGAACATCACTTTTTTTTTACACTAACTATTATACCACAATTGAAGTTAATAAAAGAATTAAATTACAAATTAAGTTTAAAAACGACGTTTTTCTTCCGGTTTATACAGGTTTTCATCCCACAATATACTTGTTAAACAGTTTTTATTTAAAAAATAAAAGAAATAAATCAGAATGTTTTTATTCACGTTTCCTAAAAATATATAGTTGAGATTTTATATTTTTCCTTACATAAGATATGCAACTAAATAATGATGAATTCTGAATATATACACTTGTACCATGGGTAAATTCACTTTGTGATTTAGTGACATTTTTGCGAGAATTTTCAATTACTTAATGGCTAATTTTCAGAACCCGAGGGACGGTCTATCATAAATGGTCCAGCAAACATCTCACTGAAATCTATCTGAGACTTTCCATCGAATGGAGAGAAAATTATAATTGTGTAACAGAGGTCTAATGGATATCACAATTTTTCTAATGTAATTTGTAAATATTGAAAGAATGATTAATTTAAAAAAAAAGAAATCTCTTAATGATTCACAATTTGGGAATTAAAAAAAGCAATCCGAAATGGTTCAAACATGTATGGGATATTTTAAAATTTCAGAATTTGTTTCGGATTGTTTATCCTCTCTCAATGGAATTAAACTATTATAGGAGCTATTACGGGGAGCTATCAAACAAATACTGACAACAATATCCGGGAATATAACTGAGAGGACAAGGAGCTATTGATAGTACCTGTATATGATATTTCTGGGCTCTTTTCTCCCGGAAGTTAGAGGCGTATCAACTTACTTTTAGAATCTTCTTTTCATCTTTTTAGGTCTCCTATATGTCCAGTGGACGACATACCATATAAGTATGTTTACGGTATGCTTTAAAAAATCGGTTTGTCCACAACCTTGATTGAATGAGAAATCATAAGTGAAATGGACTGTATCCTTAAAATCAGTCACTATTGCTGATTACATAAAAGGTCTTCTGTAGGATTTTAATAGCAATACCCTACATTTGTTTGTGTAAATACTGTTCAGCAGTCCCGAATTAATGCTGTTTTCCAGAAATAAACATTTTCCTCCCAAGCAAGATAAATATAAAACCCTATTAGGAATCTGGATTACTTGGAGCATAAAGCTTCCTTAGTTTATTTAAAGCAAATAAAGTTTTTTCACCATGAAAATATCAAGAAAAACAGCTATAAATTATTTTGTAATTAAAAAAAAACATATTTGTAAAAAGATATTCATATAAATATTTGATAAAATTTCGATATATCGACGACGTATTATCAATTAACAATAGTTACTTTCATTCACATGTCGACTTGATATATCCCGGTGAGCTTGAAATAAAAGATACCACAGATTCTGACACATCTGTTTCATATTTAGATATTTTACTGGAAAAGGACGTTAATGGTAACATTACAACCAAGCTTTATGATAAACGTGATGACTTCAACTTTTCAATCGTCAATTTCCCTTACTTATGTAGCAATATACCCTTATCACCTGCATATGGGAATTATATCTCTCAGTTGATTCGATGCGCAACAGCATGCTCTACGTATGAACAATTTTTAACACGAGGCAAGCTACTAACAAACATGTTGACGAAACAACGATATCAACAGTCTCGTTTGAAGTCATCTTTTCTCAAGTTTTTCGGTCGATACAATGACCTTGTCAGCACATACAACCTGTCATTGAGTCAAATGCTGACTGACGTTTTTCATATTGATTGTTAGGCATTATTTATACACTGAACTGTCTACGGATATTTCCAGTTTTTGTTTCCCGATCAGGACAAGGAGCACACGGCGGGTGTGACCTGTCGGCAGGGGATTCTCACTCCTTCATGGTACCTGATCCCATCTCTAAATTTTGAGGGCCCTGTTTGTTCTGCTCCAAATTTGTATCGTTTCATTGGACTTTCGAGATTAAATACTGTTCGTTATCTCCATTTTTAGTGCTTTATATATGTTGTAGAGTAGGATTTTCCCCATAGCCAGCCCCCTCCCATGGGATCTGTACTCTGGAGTAGGAGTTCCCCCGAGGGGAAATCTCAAACTTAAGCCGAATTTTCCCCTCTTTCATTCTTTCTCAGTGTAGGATTTCCCTTACTTATTTTATGCTAGAATCATATCAAAATATTTTGGTTAAATGATTATATGAGTCAACAGATTTTGTCACGAAATTATGAGTGCTTTCGACTCAAGAACTGTTCAAATTTAGAATATAATCTTAATGTACGATATAATTCAATTCATGGAGTCTCAACCCCATATTCTAACTCATAGGAAATTGTACAAAAAGTCACTCAAAATATCGTAAGACTTGATGTCTCAACACCTCTCTTGGCGCAGTGGTGTCTGTTTATTCTTGAATTTTAAAATGTATGCAAGACCATCTCTAGAGATTTTATTTGTTTGACATCAATCAGCCAAGTATTTTCTCTATCGATCGGTGCTTTCTTTTTTTTTACAAAGAATGTGTGAGAAAATTCTAAAACATATATTATGGATAGATTCCTCATTTTGGGAGTATTTACCAAAACCAGAAACAAGAAACACAGCTCATAAAAGCCTTAGCATACATTTATGTACATGGCCTCTCAACACGAGCGGTGTAATATTGGATTTGAAAGCAGGGAGCAAATACCGCATTTCCAGTTAATTTAAAGCCAAACAATGACGAACTTGCAAAGATGTTATATAGGGAAAACATTTCACATGCTGCATGACTACATTTTACACCTAGACTATCTATGTCAAGCCTTTGGAGCAATTCATTCTAAAGTTTTTTTTTTATTATCAAAGCAATGGCAATAATATCGAATTGAAATATGAACATAAGAATTCAATTTAAGTATTGTAATTACTTTTATTAAAATTCATTTGTCAGGTCGATGAAAATATATTGTACAAATTAGAAAATGTAATAGTATATAGGTAGCAGATGTTCCTTCGCCATGCCTTTGGCACTTTGAAGTGAAAGTTGCGGGTCTTTCGGGTGAGACCTTAAAAACTGATGCCCCGTATCACGGTAGCCTTTGGCACGATAAAGATCCTTCACTGCTCAATGGCCCTGAGTGTCGAGTAAAGGTCTAAATTTGAAGCCATTCACAGGTATGTGCTGACCTCTCTACATGAGATACATGTAATATAAACATATGATATGATGGGCGCTAGAATCTGGAACAATATCTAATTAAAAGAAAGATGTACAAACTTATTTTAAAAACAAATCATCGGCAGGTCTAACTATTTCAAATAAACTGTTATACGAAGGAGGGGGCTCATCTGGCCAATCTTCAAAACCATCGTCTGGAAATTCTGTTAAAACGAATGGCATCATATGGTGTCCTTCCTCCTCTGTATTACGAGGAGATGGAGGGGATATTGGTGTATAACTAGATTCTTCTCTATCACTATATTGGTCAAAAGATTCTGTAGATGACAACCTATGTAAAACCCGATCTGAGGATGGCGGTGTCGCAAAGTGGGCCCTTGATTGGCTAGATGCATGATATCCTTAAAAAGTAAATGTGAAAAAAGTATTTTATTCATGATTTTGATATTGATGTTTTCTTAAAAATAAATTCAAAAATCAAATTCAAAAATTCTGTAAAAGGCATACCATGTACAAGGGCATCTAACAATGTCGGTGACATATGGACATTTGATTGCCTTGTAGATGCTTGGTTATCTGAAAATAAAAGTGGAAAAAGTGTATCTTCTAAAATTATTTGATATTGCAGATTGTATGAAAATTTCAATTTAGGTTAAAAATATTCTGTAAATGACAGACCATGTAAAACGCCATCTGATATTGTTGAGATTAATCTGTTAGAGTCGCATGACATAGCTCTTTGAACATCTGAAAACATATAAGCTAAAAATGAACATTATCCTCTGTAACTTTTTAATAACAGTGATAATTTCAAAACATTTTTCAGGAATTTAACAGTCTGAAGAGCCACATTTTTCAAGCAAATTATGTTCAGAAAAGTAAAACAAAACTTTCAGAAGAATGAAATGTGATGAGAATAAACAGTAATCATGCTCAAATTAATGTAAATTGGGTCAAGACAGACGAGATTCTAGATATTATTGTATCATCAACTTCTTTGCCAATAGCCTTACTTTATTTTAAAATTAATTGTACGTAGAACCTGCACTTGCGTATCGAATCAACTAGGAGATATAAACCCTATATGCTGGTGATAATGTTATATTTCTGTACAAAAAAGGAAAATGAAAAGTTGAAGTAAGATGTTAGTTTGCCATTGAAGTCTTTTTTCTTGTGAAACATCGAAATATGAAATAGTTGTGTCAGACTCGGTGGTGTCCTCAATTTTGATTTCGTTGGGATATATCGAATTAACATAGTTGATAAAATTTGATAACACGTTGCCGATATATCAAAATTTCGAATTGAAGTCCACTTCTTTTCATGTAAAAGTTTTTGAATAAATTGTGATTCGTAAAAATACAAGAACAGTTCTTCTTATAACAGGGTAAATAAGAACCCTCGGGATTCCAAAAGACAATGATAAACTCAATCATTTTTAAAATATCAACTTTGTTGTACTTCTATGTAGAACAAGAATGTTTTAAACAAAATAAGTTTGCAGATGACAAATAACGAAGTACGTTTATTATTTGTTCCATTTTTATTGAAGAAACAGTTGTTTATGACAACAAAAAATCTATTTTTCTCTTATAAATTTATGGTGAAAAATGTTTGTATGACAAAGTACATCTTGAATAATTTGTTTATATAATAGAAATACTTTACATGCTTCTTCAGAACCAACTTAATCATTAAATGATTTGCCTTCTTTTAAATAATAGAATATGATTTTTAAAAGTATGAAATGAACGAAACGTGTATGTTCTAGAAATTAACAAAAAGCATTCAGTTTTATGTACATGCATGAAAAAATTGTCAAAGGTATTTTAAATACCTAAATATAAATAGAAAATAAAAAAAAAGGATGGAAAAGAATGATAACAAAGTAAAATGTAACATAAAATAATGGGAAAAAATAAGGAATAAGTAATGCTTTAAAATTTCTTTCTTCATTTAACTGTAAGCTATTAAATTAAAATACCTGAAAATGTATTGTTATTTGGGAAGGATCTTGTCTTTGTTCTTCTCTCGCAACAATACTTTTTAAAACAAGCTATGACGATGCATAAAAACAGTAAAACATGTGCACCTATGGCGAAAACACCAATAAATTCTATCGGAATCCTAGAAAATAAATACTTGGCAGAATGTTAAATGATACACAAAAAATTACTTAAGGTAAATAACTTCTCCCTTAAATTTCTTGTGGTTTCAGTTTTCTGAATAACATTAAATGCAGAGCTATTTTTTCTTGTAAGAGAGAGAGAGAGAGAGAGAGAGAGAGAGAGAGAGAGAGAGAGAGAGTTACCTTTCTGCCATCAATGAAGATTTCTTCGGCAGTTTTCACAAAACCATACGAAGCATTTATTGACGCCTGTTACATGTATATGTTTCATAGAATGTAATCTACAATAAAAGGGTAACAGTTGATATGTAAGTATATAGGGCAAGTATTTAATATGAGGTTAATGTTTAACTTAAAGACACTAATAATTTCAATTAGGAATTCCTCTGCTGGTGGACTGTTAGTCCCCGAGGGTCTCTACAGCCCAATAGCTGAGAACTTCGGTACTAGCTTAAAAATACAGATAAATATACTGAAACGCAAAAGAAACGCAACAAGCAGTAATATACAAATATTTGAATTTTTTATCTAATGATTTTCAAAATTGAATACAGTAAGGTAAAATTCGATTTAAAAACATCAGAGATTTGATAAAAATGTTAAATGATTATCTTTTAACTTTAGAGAGTAACACGTACGTGACTGTTAAAACACCCCCACCCGGCCATTCAATTACAGCGTGCAAGACTGCCATGCACAACAATTGCAGCTTGATTTCTACGATACAGTAGGTTCATCAATCTCGAGATCTGAGCGAAAGAAATATTCTTTGCCATTTTTAAATGCCCGTTTTTCAGATGATGAGGTCAAAATTTCTCTAGCCTAGCGCAGTGTAGTAACACTTGGACTTCCGATCCGAGGATTGTCATTCATGTTAATGATACGTAAGAGCCTCTTGAGGCGTACTTGAATCTGCAACTCTCCATCACCTTTATTTTGAGATTTTCCAGCTAGAGCAATGGAAATGCATACTTAAGTCATATTCAGGAAGCCTTGGCATCGCTTACGGAAAAGAAAGGAGAATTTATTTTTTCGGAATATTGCTGCATTAGTTATGATGAACAGATACAAACCCTTAAAACTCCATATATTGCCAAATGTTTCGTTAAACATGCAATTTTTTATTTCTTTGAAGCGGACTCAAACTTAACTTCCGGTAAATGCTATGAAAATCATTCAACCGTTAAATTACCGATATTTACAAGGTTGAAGATGTCCTTACTTTTTAGATACAAAATTATATCCTATATATAACATTTCCCCCTAAAATAGGATGTTGCGTTTCTTTTGCGTTTCAGTATATTTAATTGTTGTGGGATAACTTAGAGATTTATTTCAAAATTAAGGATTATCTACCCTTGTGCATAGCTTTGATCCTTCGACGTTTTTGGCTCCAGTCTTTGGCACCCCCTCTTTTTAGCTCCTCAAAGTTTTTTTTTTTATTAGTTTAAATATTCCGGATTTCCAATGTTTCGGCATGAACATCAGTCAAGAAAAATAAATTGTCGAAATGCGCATCTGATGCATCAAAACTGGTACCATATATGATTTACATTATCTATAAACTGAATGAAAAAAAAAAATAATACTCTAATTCAGGGAATTTATGTCTCCCGTCTAAGGACAAAGGAAGAGTCTGGAAGACCTAATTTGTGATAAAGAAAAGGCCTAGGGTTGATTTCGCTCTTTTTTGGTCTTAAAATCTTATGGGAATTGTCTTCAGTTAAAGAGATTCATTATGACAAGTTTCACTGCATAAGATTAAAAAGAACTCAGGTTATAATCTGAAAAGTACTTTATGCAATATGTTATTTTTTTAACTTGACCTTGAGCCTTTTGACTGCAAAATACAAGAGCTGAAAAAGAGCTATCATCTGAGAACCATTTTTTGTAATATAGGATCATATGACAGTGAGATTGACCTTTGACATTCTAAGCTTAAATTCAATATGGATCTCTCCTATGTCATAAGGATTTATGGTACATATTTTAATTGCAAATACTCAAAGGAATTTAAAGTTATCATCTGGAAACCATGTTATGCAATATATTAATTTCTGATCTTAATCCAATAGCTCTAACCGTTCACGGTAGCTCAGTCGGTAGAGCGCTCACTCCGTGATCGGAAGGTCGTAAGTTCGAATCTCGGCAGCGACTGACAGAGTCGATAAAAAATAGGTAGCAACTGCTCCTTCTTAAAAAGCGAGGCCCCGTGTCACGGCAGGCGCTGGCACGATAAAGATCCCTCACTGGTCAATGGCCCTGAGTGCCGAGTTAAGGTCAAAATTTGAAGCCCTTCACCGGTATATGGTGACGTCTCTATATGAGTGAAAAATTCTCGAATGGGACGTAAAACAACATACAATCAATCAATAGCTCGAGTCATAGGAAGTTATGATAAAATTTTCATTGCAAAACCTCAAGGACTTTTTAAAATATCCACTGGAAACGTGTTACATACAAACAGAATAACAGACAGACGGCTGGACGGACAGAGAGATAAACTGACCCAAATAGATATCCTCAACTTTCAATGAAAGCGGGGGATGAGTAGAAATTTGTCCATATGAATAAACAATGATACATGTGAAAGGATTCAAAAAAGCTAGGCTCTATATATAATTATGACAAAAAGTATAATTTAAAATGCTAGATCATGGCATAAGTGACAAAATACATCCGGCTACATAAACAAAAGCTATAACAAGGTTTAATAAGGTTAAATCTATCTGCATACATAAATAACCTAGAATATTCCGAGGAACGCGGGCATCGCCTGCTCTATAGCATCATTAGATATGTAACGCAATCTAAGAATGGTCAGCTAATGAACTACTCCTAGAATTATCTTCGATAGAATGGCAATTATCATATAAAACTTATGTGAATTACGACAATTCATAGAAATCTAATTCCTCGACCCTCATCGCTTGAATGAATAATGAAATTGAACTATTTAGAATAATTATCATTTTATTTATATGTTTTCAATCCAAGAGAGCTATTTCAGTCTGTATTCACCAGGCCCGTAGGAAGCAATTTCAATTTGGGTTGTTGGCACTCCAACCCAAGCCCCAACCCTCTGTTTCTAAGGCCATATATTCTGCAATTGTCAATCAACATCTGTATAGGAAGTACAATCCATTTTGGTATACAAATCCCAATGTATTTTCATATTATCTAAATTTCAGTTTGTGTGGTAAATTTATATTGTACTATTTCAAAGTACAGTGCCAAGAGCTCATAAAAATGTGATATATTTGATATTTATCAAAATTCAAAGGACAAATTTAATAAAACACTTTCAAAGTAATTTTGCAAAGGGGGGCAAACGTCAAGTTCAAATGGACTGTCAAGCTGGATTTTTTTTTAATATGACGAACAGTGCAAATGCTAAATATAATATGACAAACAGTGTACATGCTAATTAACTCATACATACCTTCTACATGTCAAAAATAAGCTGTATATCGGCTCTATGAACTATTTTCAAAGTTGGTTAAAGGTCAAGATCAAAAGTCATGAGGTTGGTAACCCTGGTATTGTTCAAAAACAGTTGTACCAAGCTAAATATGTGCAAAATATTAAAATTCATACCTCCTACAGTTCTCAAGATATAAGATGTGATAGACGGAAAGATGGAGGGACGGACAGAGATCTAGACAGACAAACACCGGGTAAAGTGATCCCTAAGGGTCACTCTGCTTTGCAAGCGACACGGAAAAGAGTACATGTAAAAAGGTCAGGAATAAACCAGATTCTACATATTCAGACGTGTGCTATAATTTAACGGCAAAAACAAAAAGAACAAAATGGCGTCCCTCACTCGTGAAGCGTAATGTAAACAAAGTCAGCATACCTTGTTGGTTCTTGGGAAAACAAATATCTATTTTTATCTCCTGGTTATTTGTACTTCCATTGATGTTTTATTGTCGTCTGCCTCTGAATGATTTCATTAAGTTTTTAAAACTTAATGAAATCATCCAGTTAAAAATGAAATTGAAATTGAAATCAAATAGTTAATCATGGATGAAGACCATAAACATTTGTCAAATTACATTAAAAATGTATATGTGAGAAAAGGGATATAAGTTACGACAGATTGCTGATGAATTGAGCCTTCCCAGAAGAAATTGTTACAGGAGTTATCTCTCCTTTAAAAGAAGAGGTTTAGTTTGCCTTGAACTGGATGTTAGTGAGGGATAGTCGCTCGTTTGTTTGGATTGCTCGGAAAGAAATTACCACCCAGTTTAATACTTATAGACCTCGGGAATTCTCTAAAAGAACTGTCCAAAGATGTGTTTACCGAGAAGGTTACCAGAGACGCATCGTGAAGAAGAAAGTCCTTGTAAAGGTGTGAATAGTAAAATGCGGTCAGCATGGTACCAAGGAAAGATTCATTGGCGTGCGAATAATCCGTTGGATAGTTTTTTTCTCTGATGAAATCAAGTTGTTTTTGGTCAAAATAATAGGTGCTATAAATGGAGCTGGAAGGATAAGGCGGAGTGTCCCAATTGTGTCTGCTCCCCGTAACAACGACGAATCTCTGTTATAATTTGGGAATGAATAAAATATCTCGGTGTGGGCACAATCACTACGAAAAATGTCACTGTGAAAAAAACACAAGTATATAGATATCCGTTTGGACAATTTGTGGCCCATTACAGATATCCATTTTTCCAAATCAAAACTTTCTATTTCAAGACGACAACGCTTCTATCCGCCGAGCCCAGAACGTCTAAAACATCTAAGCCAGAAATCATATTAATTGTATCCGCTGGGCTGCACAATCACCTGATTTACATATTGACAATGAATGGCTAAAACGTAAACAGAGATTGGAACATCACTTCGCCGTTGAACTATACAGGGCTAAGGTAGACGTATGACAGAAACTCCGCGTGAAATATATAGAGGAACTATGTTTTTCTCTGGCAAGACGTATGAGGAAAGTGTTGAGGGTAAAAGGTGAAATAACGAAATATTAAACACAGGTAGGTTATTTCTCTTACTTGTTTTGATGTTTATTGTTAACATTACGCTTTACGCTCGAGCGATACCATTTTGTTTTTCTGTTAGATTCTGTATCCATAGGTACATACAAAAACCAGGGATGCATATAAATATGTACATCAATAAATCACTTTGATACAATGTAATAAATATTAATGTTAATAGTTAATCTAGAGTACATATAAAGAAGTAAATGGATAAACGTTAATCTTCCCAAATGTTACTACAAATCCTCATTCTAATGACATACCTTATTACATAATCATTGTTCCCTTACATACAAAAAAATAAACTAACCTGTAGGAAATCTGCCTAAAATATCGTCAATAAATGTGTTGTTTTTGTAACAATGTTTTAGATTTCCATAGTATAGAATTGATCCGTGAAGTAAGTCACAAAGGAAATCCTTCTGCTCTCCAGTTAGTTTAAAGTATAAAATGGGCAAAAACGAAAACGCTTCAATGATGGCGGATGTGCATTACCTTCTCAGCACTTTTAAATGCCTTTTGCATTTAATGTTTACTACGTAGGTTTAAATGAATAAATTTATATGGAAATACTGCATATTTGAGTAAGGTTTTATGAAAATACATCATATAATATATGTCAATATGTCATCTTACCTGTAGAAATATAATATAGCCAAAAATATTGTCAAAATATTTGTCGGTTTGTTTGCTTACATTACAATAGTAAACAGGCAGAGAGTGAGAATTACTTCCGCTTCCCTGTTAAATTAAGGTATAAGAAAAATTGTGTAAAAATGAAAACATCTTACTTTTTTTTCTGGAGCACATGGGCATTAAGTATGATGGCTTATGGGGCCATGTTTCTCTAATCATATATGCTTCGAAGCATTATAAGAATAGGTACCTGGAAATACAACACATTTGATGTAGAGTTCATAATTTGCAGATGTAGAAATTAATACAAGGCCTAAGAGAAAAAGAGATGTTTCTTATCAAGTTCCCAGAAAAGAATTTGATCAATATATGCCATGAACATACGCTTCAAAAACAAAGGCTATTCAGTGTTTATATGCACAGAACAAATAGTATTTTTCATGTATTATAATTCAGGTTTTTTTTTCAATTTAAAAGAAATAAAATGTTCCAACAAAATATATCTCAGCTTCATTAACAAGGGCCAAAGTTCACATTTGTGATGCGAAGTACAGCAAGTAATTGTGATGACAATGAAAATTTATTAAGTAACAGAAACAAAATACAGCGCATAGTGATGCGTAAATAAAAGGTAGCATGCATTTATTTTATCCATTATTAATTTAAGAATGCAGTATCTCATTATTTCTAACAATTCTTCCATGTATATAGAAGCGAATCTTGTGTCACATATGACGTCACTCGCCTTGACTTGTACAAGTGATCCACAGGATTATTGCAATAAAACTTAATGGAGTACAAAACCACCGTCAATCCTTAACTCATTTCTTTTAAACATTGGTGTACATAATTAATTCATCAGGACCTTATAATGCTTCACAGCGACAGCGAATGTAAATAAAATCGCGAATTCCATAAGTATATTCCCGATAAACCTCAAAGTCCAAGGACATCAATAAGTCTTTTCTAGCTGAAAAAAAAACCGGTATATCAATTGTTTATATCTTGTATAATTTAAAACGAACTGGGATTTTATTCTGGTCTGAAGATTTTTTTTAATTGGTTACGATGGACAAACGGTGGAATGCTTTTGCTGCATTTTAGGCGAAAGTACGAGACAGTACTTCCCAAAAAGCTCTAACTAGATACCAGCACTTTTCAGGTAGAGGATGTAAATCTTCTTAATGTGTTTCATTTATTTATTTATTTATTTTTTATTTTTTTTTTTTGCCAAAAAACAATAGGATACCTTTGAGTCATTTTCTACATTCAGCCCTTAATTTTTTTTTTGATCACCAGTCACGTGGCACACAGGTTATACAGGCAATGTTACCGGTATATAAATGTATTTTTATACATATAAATAAATAATATTTACATTACAGAAATGAAAGATTTGAAAAGCGTATTTTGAAAATGTCTATAAAAACATTCTTTCACAACTGACTCTAATTAAAAAAAAATGATAGAATACCGACTTAAGAACAACACGATTAGGATAGGCTTGTCCCTAAAATATCACTAGGCACTAGCAAGAATATCTAGATATACATGTATCGTCATAATAGCAAAAGAACAGAGTCTGACACATCTGTTTCATATTTAGATATTTTACTAGAAAAGGAACTTAATGGTAACCCATATAGCCAATTTTCAACAACATTGAACAACCAAACTTTACGACTTCAACTTTTCAATCGTCAACCACCCTTACTTATGTAGCAATATAACCTTAGTATATGGGGTTTATCTCTCTCAGTTGACTTCGATGTACAAGAGCGTGTTCTACGTACAAACAAGTCTAAAACTTGGTAAACTATTGGCTAACAAGCCGATGAAACAAGAATATCAACAGTCTCGTAAAAAGTTATCATTTCTCGAGTTCTTCGGTCGATACAATGACCTTTTCAGCAATTACAATCTATCATTAAGTCAAATGTTGACTAACGGTTTTCATACTAATTTTTAGGCCATTATTTACACACTGAATTGTCTACGGATTTTTCCGTTTTCCGATCATGACAAGGAGAGCACTGTGGGTAGGTGTGTCCGGTCGGCAGGGGATGCTCACTCTTCCATGACACCTGATCTCACCTCTGATTTTAAGAAGTATGTGTTTGCTATGCTCCTGATTTTGTTTTGTATGAATGGACTTCTGAGCATGAATATTGTTCGTTATCTCCATATTTCATTGAAAGGATTTTTTATGAAATTAAGGAATTCAGTGTAGGTATAGTAATTCAAATTTATTTTGATAATTGGGATTAAATAATAACTAAAAATAATAAAACCTGACATATGAATTTTAAAGCTGACATGAACTCTTAAATATGCGATATGTTCATCCTTGTACGACTTATTTCATTCCCGTACTCCCTTTTCCGCCATATTTCTTTCAGATTCGCTCACTTATTTTACCGGCTATATAAACCCTGATGCCTTTTTTACACTTGAGTGATTTTCTAGCTTGGCTGTTGACATGTACACATCTCCGATAGCAAAGTTTCGGAAAACGCCATGAACTGACCGAAAACATGTAGGCCTATACACATCTTGATAAAGCAGTTTTGGAACATGCAATAAATCTAACAATCCTACCAAATCTAGGATTTCTTTTTTATGAAAACTGGACAGGAGTATATAAAATTTGAATAATTTAGATGCAATGCATAAAAATCAAAACGGCAAATGCAAGTTTGGTGTACATATATGTTTGAACAATAAAGAAGAAAGGGCTACCACATGCAATTTTTTCCAAATAACACTGTACTGTTGAGCTTTATGCATGCTACACAGTATAAGCACATACTATGCAACTTACGCATTCAAGTTGTACATGCTTGCATGCCGAGAAAACGGGTCGAACGCTCTAAACTCATCTGCCTGAAATACTGCTATCGCTACAGGGATGTGCACATGTTGAAAGAATTACTTCCTATTTTCCTTTTATTGAAATATGCATCACAGAAGAAATAACTCCATTTGTAACTCAACGGCAAACACATTGTCACTAGCACTTGACCATACGTGGTCCCTGCCGATCAGCATTTTTGGTCAGGGAAAATATCGAAGGTGGAAATGACACTTGTGGTATTTGCCTGATTAGACAATATAAATAAATTGTTTCAGAAATCGAACTAACTGTTGTCGGTACATGTAGTAAATATGTTCATGAATGTGGCTTCACTACTTCCAATTTATTACATAAACATAACATACATTCTTGTTACGGATCTTACATCTTTTAAAGGGGTGGGGGGTGGGGGGGTGGGGGTGAATATGTAGAATACATTTTTTCAATATGTCGGGAAAAGGTCGGATTTTCCTTGATCGACTATATTTAAATACGTGCAATGAACTGGCCTCAACTATTTTAGATATAAAACTAATATATCTTAAATTTACACACACTGAACAATTTGTTTCTGTAGACAGATTATTTTCAAATCAGAGCCCTTTTAGGCGTTACAAATTACAAGCACGATTGACACAATTACCAACAAGCACACACAGACTTACTCAACTTCATATATACAAAAACATGTAATGTAGATTATTTTAAATACACATAAGCACAGACATAATTATGTGTATATAAAATAATCTGCATTACATGTTTGAAGTTGAGTAAGTATTACACTATTAGTATATATGAAAGTAATATTGATAATTGAAATAGTTCTACTGTGTACCCAAATGTAAAGTGGGGTGATTCAACAATCCTCGCATTGCCAAAGATATCACGAGGCGATGCAAAAGTACTAATCATTACATTACATAAGTGTTTTTTAACAATTACACATATTTACAAGTTCTAGATATTTAAAAAAAAATTCGTAATATGACTGAATGATTAAAATATAGTTGCGTGCATGTGTATTATTTCCTTAAATATTATATAATTAATAGTCAAAGTTTATAGGAAAGGAAAACGTGCCCCTGAGAGTGCCCCCCCCCCAAGTTTTTTTTTTAATTTTGATATTGGTTTTTTTTTCTTGTCTAAAAATTTCTGGTAGGAACCCTCTGTGCTCTTCAGAGCTTCTAATAATTATAAAGAAACAAAAAACTGACTTCGTTTCCACTGGAAAGTACGTGAGAAGGGTCCACATGTTTCCATTCCCGTGAAATATAGTTTTCACAATTGTTTAGTTCCCCTTTCGTTTGGGTGTGTAGGTTTTTTCTTCTTTTCTTTCTTTCTTTTTCTTTTTTTTTTTTTTTTGCCTTGTCAAAAAAGGAGACATTTTTTTCAGCAGGTTTGATCCACTCTGCCCCAGAAAAATTCCTTGATCTACCCTTATAAAGACTATAGCATTTCCCAAGATTTTTACTACATCGGATTTTTTTTATGCATTATTGCTCTTACATGTAGGCTATAGATGCTTACACGTGAGAGAGAGAGAGAGAGAGAGAGAGAGAGAGAGAGAGAGAGAGAGAGAGAGAATACTTGTATTGAAAATGCAAAAAACATTTATCCATAATCTTGCGGTTAAGGTTTCAAGTAATCCTTAAACTATCTTTTAAGATTTTCTCAAAATACAAGAAATCAATTAGGTACCAAATTTTAGACTGCCTGCGGAAACTCTCCAATCTGGAAAGGCTTCCTATACATCCATATAAAACAGGCACGTAGCACCGTTTCTCAAAATGTGTGAAAGCGAGGGAGAATGGGGGAGGGGGGAGTAAAATGATTGACAGCAAAAGAAAAACTTAAAACTTGGGCACTTAAAGATTGGGGTAAGTGAAGAAGAAAACAGGCACTTAAAAAAATCCGTAGTCAGGGGAGGGACAGATTCCATTCATACTATCATTTTCGGCAGAAAAATATTTGAATACAATGTACACTAATGTTGGATAAGAGGAGGGGGGGGGGCAGTCAGTCTTGAAATAAAAAAAATCCTTACAAAATCAACCGTAAAAGACAGGCCTGTAGAACGCGTGGGTGGGGGATGCCCCCTTCCATTTTTTTTTTCCAAGCATAATGTTTTACTGTTTAGTATGAAATACACACTCAAAGGCTGACCCCTCCACTTTTTGTTGCACTATAGTAAAATCGTCGAAAAAGTTGCCCCCCCCCCCCATCATCTCCACAAAATAGGATTTTGGAGATTTTTTATATTGATTTTTGTTAATTTTTTTTTTTATTATTATTGTTCTCATAATTTTATTATATATAAATTTTTTTCCTTGTCAAAGATTTTTCAGGTAAAGTTTCAATTATTTCTTAGATGCTAAAAGACACACATGCCTGAAAGACACTCTGAGAAAAGGGATCCCCCCCCCCCCCGCTCCACGTGTGTGTGTATATTTGTTTATTTGTGTTCTGGTTAAATGCTTTTTGTGTCGTGTTCTAAATCATTTTCTTACACCAAATTACTCAGTTTATTTTTTAGATAATCAGCAATCAGACTTTTTTAGTGATTTCTTATTTTTTACCCAGTCGCGCAAATACTAATTCCCTTTTTCACTTTTGATATTTTCCCTGACCAAAATCTGATCAGCACGGACTAAGTGTATTTGAGTGCTAGGCTATATGATGAAGTGACAACGTGTTTACTGTTGAGTATTTACGGACTTATTACTTTTTTGTGATGCATATTTCAATAAATGGAATACAGGGTGTAATTCACTCGGCATGTGCACATCTTCGAACGGGTATCCCAGATAGCAAGCTTACGTTGGGCCAACGCAAGCCCAACGGTGAAAATTGCGTTGGCCCTCTGTCAGTTGTATGCGTTGGACCAACATCATCTTGCTCATCGGCCCTACGTTCAACCAACATGTTGGCTCGACGTTGGGCCAACATTCAATGGTTGGTTATCTGGCATTGGTCCAACAATGGCCCAACGTTTAACTTCCTGTTGGCCCAATGTTGGTTCAATGTTTTTTTAAAGCTAAGAATGAGTGTTGGACCAACGTTGGCCCTACGTTCTATAAACATGTTGGCAAACGATCGGCGATTGAATTATTCTAGTTCAACAATATGAATTCCTGTAACCTTTTTATTTCCATAATTACGAGTAAAATACAATTGACTGAATAAATCCTGCATGGTAAATTATCTTGTTCCTCAAACAAATGTTTTATTTTTTTTGTCACTCCTATGGAATGAAATCAACAGAGGGAAATAAAGGTAGTTCAATGTATTCTTAAGTCTATCCCATATCACTTCAGTCACTATATAATAATCCTCTAGAATAAGAGTCCCAGTGTTCAAATTTGTGAAACTTTGGAATGTTCTCCTGCCCATATTACTTCTGAACCATTCACTCCTTTTTTCCAGTTCATGTTATTGTTTCTTTGTCTGTAAAATCCATGTCTCTCACACTGATAATTGAGATAAATCACTCACTGTCCATTACATTCCAAACATCAATGGTCTTGTAACCCAAAAGGTTTTCTCCCCACCAGATGCTATAAATGATATAAAAAATATATCAGTTTAATCCGTTCAAAACTGATGTCACTTACTACTTATAAGTCGTAACTGAACCAGATTACTAGTAAATATACATGCATATTTTTGAAAATTGCAATTCTTGAATAACTTGTTCAATTTTACAAACTATGCTCAAGTTAAAACTTTCACAGAGATAAAATTCTATCAATCACACCTAAAACGACTATACTTACATTTCAATTAAGGGCTAAAACAATCCATTTTCTCTGTCTTGCGATTCAAAACGGACACGCACACGTATATGCTTTGTTCAAGTGTTGCAAGTGATAAGATGTGACCACTCCGAGTTTACGAAACAGAGCTGATTAGGATGCCTGTTTCCTAGGAAACCGGCCAGTCACCTGCTGAGCCAGTGGATTTCACCACTGACCTAATTATTTGGAGCTCTAAAATTCAGCACTTTAAGTTCCATGATGCTAAATATAGAATCTACAAAATTTATACTGTGCAGAATAATTAAAACTTCTACATGTATTTGCAATTGTCTCGGACACAAATTGCAAACATAAATCAGTATTATAAATCTTATTTTCATAAATTAGGTTCTGGAATATTTTTTTCGTTTTTATTAACACATACACTGTAAATTATTAATAAATAGGTTATTAAGATAATCCCTTGTTCATAATATTTTAACGAAAGATAAGATGTCTCTATTGAAAGAAGCTTAATTGGTTCTAAAAGATACAAATTTAATATGTGTAATTAACAGATCACCAACATGTATGTTAATGAAAGTTGATTTTATCCCAGTATTCACTACGTTGAACTAACGCTGGGCCAACGTTGAAAGCCATATCAATACCTCATTATAATCAAAATTTACTACGTTGGGCCAACATTGGACCAATTTAACATTACATGCCAACACACATTTCATGTGTTTTATGTCAACATTACTTGGTTGGCTCTATGTTAGGCCAACAGCACATCCCAACACACCGTGGCTTTGTTTTAAGCCAACATCTACTTGGTTGGACCTTCGTTGGGTCAACATCAAATGCCCAACATATAATGGTCATGTTTCATGCCAACATTTACTGCAATGGACCAACATTGGCCCAACATCGCATACCCAACACCGATGGACCAGCTTTCATGCCAACATATCATCCGTTGGGCCAATGTTGGGCCAACATTTACCGCCCAACGCCAACACTATACCAACCTACCAACCACCAACCAACGTTGGCCCGATGTAGTCTTGCTATCTGGGATAGTGGTCTATTTCCAGGTATGAATAAGTTTACTGCGTTCGACGTGTTCTCTCGATATGCTTCAATTGTATTTGAATGCATATGGATATGCACAGCAAATACGCTGGTTGTTTGTTCCATTCTTACGATAAATTATTGCAATTTTTTTGTACGAGTTTTACTGTGTATAATTTCAAGTTTATTATGCATATATTGGTATGCTTTTAAAAAAACACGCGCAACTATGTTTTTTCTTCCAAACTTGCATTTATATTATTTAAAACGATAATTATTCATAATTATCGTTATGACTGTTTTTATCTGTTCTGGTTTTTAAATGTTTTCATCAATTCATGTGTTCCCAAATACTTTACTATCGGAGATGTGCACGCGTCGATAGCCAAACCAAAAATTCACTCAAGTGTAACGAGGGTACTGGGGTATATATCGTTACAATAAGACAAGGTATCTGGAAGAAATATGGCGGAATAGTTGGTATGAAACAAGTCGTACATTGATGCAAATGTTGCGTTTTTAAGAATTCATGTCAGCTTTAAGAATTTACTTCTTAGAAAGGTAGGTATGGGTGTAAGATAGCTTATCACTTGCAGAATTTCTCTAAAATATACAATTAAAAAATGAGCCTTATAAACAAAGACAATGTTATTACCTGCTTTGTCAGCTGGAACAAGTATAAATTGTATTTTTTGTAATTCTTTTTTCACTTCTGTGTTAATTAACACAGAAGAATACGTGGTTTTCGTATTGCCCCTCCGTTACTATCTCGCATTCCATCTGATACGTTTAATCCATTCTGACAAAGTATGTCAAAGAAAATAATCCCTAAATACACAAATCATATAATTCTGAAGAACCTACAAGACCTTCCAGCACAATCTGCTACAGATTTTGAGTATTATTTGTATTGAACGGATTATGACAAAATTTATTATGCATATGATAACACAATGGATATAACTACAAAACCATCCTCCTAAATCATTTCTTAAATTACACCATAAGAATTAGAGTTTACATAAATTTGTTACTATCATTTAAGATCAATCCAGACCAAATAGACAACATATTGGATGAATTTTGAATACCCCCCCCCCCCCAAAAAAAAGAATTACTTATGAAAAAAGGGTGCGGGATTAAAGTCATCAAGATGTACTCCTAGAGGTAAAACCTCTGTAAAATACAATCAAGAATTCCTGATGAAATGGATCGTGGACCAACTCTCAATGATCCTATGAGATCTGTATCTAAATTATGCACTCAGAGACTTTTGGCTACTTCAAAGACCTTTAAAAAATAAGTCTCATTAACAGTTTATGCACGTCACATTACTCTAATCAAAGCTAGAAAAAAGTACACAACAAATACGAAAGTTAAGATGGTTATTTCATTTGATTATTCATAATTTTGCCATTTTTGATTAAGTAAAGTATCAGATTACGATTTCATCATTGAATTTTTATTATTATTACAGTCTTCGGTCTCCAGCTTGTGGACTTGATGGCTTGATAGATTAGTTGCTGATTTTCAGGACTGATTTATGATTTTCTGAAGTTAATTCAGTTTTTGGAAATTTACTTTTGGTCAGAAGTTATCGCCCTTTTATCAATTTTCAGATGGCCATTCTGTTTGTTACAGATCTCAATAACAACTAAAGTTAGAGCGCTGATATTTTCAGAGACGATAGACGACAGGATATTCACCTATGTTTTCAAATCTTCCGGAAGTGTCTAGTATGGAAGCTCGGTAGGGGGTCGAAATTGAATATGAATAAAAAGCGAATTTTCGAGACATTTTTTTATGATATATTCAAAATTACGATTATTTCCTTCAAACGTATTGAAAAAAATTGTTAAGAAATACACGATCATTTATATGATATCAAGAAAAACGGGCTGACTCATCACATTAGGGACGGACAAAGAGGGCCAGAAGTCCTTAATCCTTTACTCTTTATTGATCAATATGTTGTTATACATTACTGAAGCAAACATGTTGATTTTAACTTCTACAACAATATATGACATTTAGGTCATAAGTAACATAAATAAGAGCCATAAGGGGCCAGAATGCTACATCTTTGATGCTTTATATTTTAAAAGTGGGACGTATTCTTATAAGAAATATTGAATAAAAGATGTTCAAAATAATGTTCTGAGTAATTCTTTATATATAACCTTCAATTTTTGCTGAACGTCCCCATTACGGAGTTGAAGGACCAGTGCCGGTCGAGAAAAAGATTACTACTTACTTAAATTTACACATAATGTAAAATTACAAAACAAAATAAGAATTATGTATAATTGTATTTGCATTAGAAATAAATGTTAACTTCCACATATAGATTAAATTCACACATACAAGTATTATATAGAGAGTTTTTCTGTATGATTCACACAATGATTTTGTAACGTCCACCTTCTGACTAATATACAGAGTTTTCTTTCAGTAGGTTTTCGTTTGAACACACAAGCAACAGACAATACAGTATCATTAACATGTATAAAATGAGGTAAGGTCTTGTTTGCATATTTTAAAGACGATAAGTCTTTTTATTCGATTTAATCCTTGTATGATGTTTTGATCATTTTTCAGCCACTCTCTACTACTGGGGTTTGATGTTTTCATTCATTGTAGAAACTGTATAAACAGGCTGTTGTACTCCAGCTGGATATTGCATTGTGGCTAAAAAAAAAGATTTAAAAAAAAAAAGAAATAATCATTTTTTTAAACTTAGAGAATGAATCGTTTTCTTTGTTCAAAATGTTTTATTTTCACTCTGACTAATAAGATGTATCCTTATATTTAGACGTCTTCATTTATTTTGCACAATGAGTATTGAAAATAAAAAGAACATAAAAAGCCCCAAAGTACTGCTTTCATATTTTAAAAATTTCTTAATATATCACTAAACCTCTTTTCATGTAGCATAAAAACTTTTCCTATAAAAAACATTCAGGAACGTACTATTGCTGTATGCGACAGCTGTGTTTCCAGGACGACTGGTATAAATAACTTGACCTGGACTTCTACGTTGCCGAGCACAAACGCAAGCCACTACTATACAAATAGTGACCAATACTGCCAGGCCAGCTAAACTGCCAATGACTATGCCTATAATTGCCCCAGTACTCCTGAAAAAATAATATTGTTATCTGTTATCAGAGTATCCAAAAACGTAATACGTTGATGAAAAATGACAAAAGAAAAACCAGAGATGTAACAAATAAACGTACAGACTATTTGCAATGTGGTACACATAGTCACAAGTCTTGAGTTCATAGTCACAGCGACCACTGCAGTAAACGTAGACATAGTATTTACCAGTCTTGAAATCTCCATCGTCATCAACATACCATCCGTATTTTGAAAATCTACATCTTCCTGAAGCGCCTAAAATTATAGCTGAAATAAGGAAATAAATTAATGTTGAATGTTAAAAGGAATTTAAGACTCTTTTTACATGTGCTCATTTACTTTACAGGTGTAAATGTTACATATATTTAGATGTGGTGTGAAAATTAATGTAATTCATGCAATTAATTCACACGTAGCAAAGCAAATGTAAATCAGTATTGCCGATTTAAAAGCATTATTGTGTGTATGCTGACGTCGCACTGATATGATGTTTTTTTGTTCGTTCGTTCGTTTGTTTGTTTGGTTTTTGTTTGTTTGTTTGTTTGTTTTTTGTATCTGTTCTCCCCGTGTTTGACCAAAATGAACTTCTGATTCTTCATACATTAATGCATTTCCCCTTCTTGTTAAAAAGGTTTAATTCTTTCACACAACAAAAGGCAACTGATGCATTAGTGAATAAATTATAAAACAGGATGCACTTGTCTAGGTAATGATGCAGTGTAAAGACATTTTTGATTCTTGTGTAAATTTACATTGCATTCCAATTGATGAAAGTACACCAAAATTTAATTCTTCATGTGTAAAAATCAATTTTTGCCGCAATTCTGCTTAGGTAAAAATTTAAAGCATTAGGTAAGATATCGTAAAGTGCAAATCCTGCTAAATTTCCGTTTATATGGGCTCAAGTACACGTTAGTGCAAATTTTGCGTATACCAGGGATGTCCAAATAGTTCGTTGATTCCCCCCCCCCCCTTTTTTTTTTGCTAACATGAATGACACTGCCATGTGCATGAATATTCAATAGCCATTCTCTTTAACCACTTAAACTTTTGTGGCAGGCTTAGTCACAGATTCTTTTTCAAATTTGGCTGGAATTTACGACCTACTACTCCAAAAAATATTGTTAAATGATATGAATGTTGAGTGATTACCATGGAAACGGTGTCTAAAGTTAATTTTTTCTGAAAAAATGCAACTTTTTGGGATGTTATTTAATGAAATGCGGCTACTTCAATTCATGTTACTCACAGAAATAAGAAATATGACATCTAATTTTAAAAGTCATTTAAAAACATTGTTGGTATTCAGTCTATAAATATGAGAAATCTATGATCAAAATAGCAGATATTCATTTAAAAATTGAATTATCTCCCTTTGATAATTATGAGCTCTTTAGTGTGAGAGATAAAAAAAATCATTGAACAAAACTGACTGGAAATTGTTTACATTGTCAACATATATCCTGGATTTCAAGTAAAATCAAGCTTTAAAATTTTTCTGTTTATTTAAAGTGCATACAAATTTTAACCTCTTTTTATGTTTCCTGCATGCAAAAGAGTAATTTTGATGTGTGAATAATGGCGAAATGTACAAGACCACATGGTACAGGAAATCAGCTCTGTACACATTCATGATATTCAAGCCTATAAGCCTCAAGGTCTTAGGAGTTTCAAAATGGGGGTGAAAGATAAACTTGAGATATAAGAATTATATTGAATTGGTTGTAAGAAGAGGTACAGTGTACGTCTCAGTCAGAGTTATATGTAATAATGAATACAGTGAGCTTTGGAAAGCCAGTGTTTTTAAATAAACGAATTTGAAACAAAAAAAAAAACAAAACTAACTGAATTATAATGTGAGAGAACTAGGCTATTGATTTTACCTAGGTAATTAAAGTCAAGCCACATTTACATGATCGTACAAAACTTGAATTTGAAAGTTGGATAAAAATAGGCTTGGCAACAACAAAGCACAGGTGTATCAAGTTTATATTGAATGATGTGATGTTAGTTGATGCCTGTCATTAAAGGGACGACCATTTGATACGGGTGGGGACGTGACATATTTTAGAAACTTAATGTTGAAAATAAATAATCTGACCTCGGCTGACAGGAAAATAAATAATCTAGCCTGAATAAGTGCTACAACCCCCACCCCCATCCACAGACACTTGTTTCGGTAATAATTTTTTAAACTCATAGTATAATATGTATTTATTATTATACTTTACTGGGTTAAAAAATCATTACTGAACCCCCCCCCCCCAGGAATAGAGGTTTGAAGTTTTCCTTTTGGGGGGGGGGGGGCTCTTAAGATTTCTTTTTTTTTTTTTTTCAGTGAAGCAGAAAATAAATAACCTGTCCTGGATCATCTTGGAAATAAAAAATCTGTCCTTCACAACCATGAAAATAGATTGTCAAATTTGTATGCACTAATGGTTCAAAAAAGTTCATAACTGGATATTTAATTTCAGACCAACTACATTATTGTAGAAAAAAATCCACACCTAAAAACCCTGTTTTTAGCGAGGGTTGTAACAGAAAACTCAATCTGTTTTATTCCTCCTACTGTTTGCCTTGATTTGTATCACAAAAAAGAGGGAAAAGTTATGTGTGTATATTTCAGATTTGGACTTTTTATTTAATGATTTAGAAAACATATAGTAGACAAAGAAATTGATTATGTTGCTGATCCTGGAATTTTCTTTAAGGTAAAAGTCCTTATCCAATTAAAAAAAAAATTAAAAAAAAATTGCTTAGACCAATAATAAAAATGTTTTGTTTGATTTCTGTCAACCAGTCAAAATTATACTTTCATTTTTTTATTTATTTATTTATTTTTTTTTTTTGGGGGGTGGGGGGGGGGATTGTTTGCATAGAAATACAAGTTGTCTGAACCATATTTAAAGTTAACGGCTTATCATTTCTCTAGACTAAGATACATTTAGATTGAACCTTATAGCAGTAAAATTAATATTAAATCTGTCTAGCTGTATTTTATTAATTATGAAAATATAAATTATAAATTTCTGACAAGCACCACCCCCCCTTTCTACCAAAAGAAAAAAAATCATAAAATTAAACTCAAAAATTCTATACCTCGGGAATGGGGGCGAGGTGGGGTTAATCACTTATGAATGAACCGCTTTCTTTCATATTTATAAATAACGCTTCTTAACGTTTTACAAGGGATCCGTGTTTCTCTCACAAATGACTCTTCCCAATTTATGTGGGGTAAGTGCTTTTACATGGTTTCTGGAAGGGGTGGAGTAAGTCCTGGTCAAAAAATGTCAGAACAAGGACTTAGTCTACAAAAACAACACATGCATGTAGCCCAAGTCACTCAATATGGTAAGTGTATAGTCTTTCAATATTTTGACTTGGCAACCTTTTTATCAATAAATGACCTTAAAAACATTCTCATAGCATTTTCACATTATGCATCAAGCTAAAGGTGAGAATGTTATACCAGTTTCAGTAAAATACATTGTATATAAAGCAGGATACGACGTTCACAATATCCGAGTATAAATGCTATACTAACAAGCTAATTCAAACAATCTTTGTCCCCTGCTTAAAAAAAAAAAGAAGAGCATGTATGGATCTAGAATGGTGGGGGACAGAGGGTGGTGAAAGTGGGTGGACAGGGCACTTACATGTAAGAGGGACGGGCGGGTCCACGGAGAGTATTGATATAAATTTTCAATGTAAAAGCTTAAAAACTTCTTGAGATGTCGCTCGGAAATGAAAGTCTTACACACAAACTAAATTTCTGACCTTGACCTTTGACCCTTTGTCCTTGAAATCAATAGGGGTCTGTTTTAGGCCATAGGGAGTTGTGGTATAAGATTTTATTAAAAAAGCTTGAAGGCTTCTTGAGAAATCGCACGGAAATGAAGTGTTGAAACAGACAGAATTTATGAATTCATGACCTTGACCTTTGACCTTAAAATCAATGGAAATCTTTCTTAAGCCACAAGGAATTTTTATGTAATATTTCATCACAAAGGTTTAAAGGCTTCTCGAGACATTGGGCCGAAACGAAAGTGTTATAGAAAGACAGACTGAAGGAAGGATGGATGGATGGACAGACAGACCCAAATTAATATCCCCACTTTCAGTGAAAGTTGGGGACAAAAAGGCAAATTTTATATACCATTGTGACCTTGAACTTTGTCCTTCTATCTGTATTTGCCAATTCATGTGATGCTAATTATTGTCCACTAGAATTGTAATTTGTTTCTTTATAATTATGTTGTTAAAACACAAGTATTAGTTATGACGCAGAAAAAAAATAAGCTTAGTTTCCTTAAATTTCCATCTAAATCGAGTCATTCTGACCTTGAACTTTGATCTTTTGTCATGAAAATTGATTTTTCTCTTTGTTTTTGCTATTGTGTACCACATATCTAAATTTGGTTTTAATCCATTATAAAATACTCAGATATTTATATGGAAACTGATTATAGATACCTATTGCCCTTGTCTGAAATTCTCAATAAAAGCATAAGTTTGTAACCATGGTAACATGAAAAAAAAAATATGAATACCAAGTGTGTCTTTGTAGTTTCTATTAGAACTATATATGGACTTTCAAACTAATATATTTATTTTTTCACAAATGTCCGCAAAATTTTATACCAAGCTTTTCAAAAGATCCTAAAATCTACAATTTTACCCCCAAAAATCTTACTTAAAAAAGGGACACATTTTTTCTATGAGATTAAGTTACTCAAATACTAGAAACAATCTAAAGAACTATAAAAATGATGTATTTTGGCAAAAAGATAAAGACATGTAAATATCTTGTTCTATGAAAGACTTTTAATTAGTCAAAAAGGATCATTTTTCATCAAAATTTAGCATTTTTTACGCCATGAAAAATGTATGTTGGTTGCCATGGTAACCATTGACCATAGCAACCATTTTATTTTTAATTTTAATTTCATACATCAATATAGCAATGTGTGCCAAGTTTCATAAAAATCCAAGACCTAGCGTGCCACACTCCCTATATAAGAGTTTAAATGCTTACAGAGAATGGCTTTGAAATATAGACCACGATTGAATAAATATACAAATATCAGTGCAATGTACACCTAGTAACAAAATATTGTAATCAGCATAGATATTTTCTATATACGAGACGCAAGGCCCAGTCCGACGTTATGCAAATACATTTAGTCACGTTATGATTTCCGTAACAAATCTGTGGTCATCCACTTCTTACAACATGTACATTGACCGCACTGCCTAATGAGTGCAAAAATACTATTCTTTTATTAATTTTAAGATAGAAAACTATGAGTAGATATAAATGTATAAGAAATCATAGCAATACACAATATTTTACCAATAATATTAACATGTATGCTATATACAGGACGCAAGGCCAGATTCATAATAAAGTCGTGAATACGCAATTTCATATTTTCATCACATTACATGTTCAGTACTATTTCATTTCTGGCAAAGTCTTCAAAATAGTACATACCGCCTGAAACGCAATTGTGCCACTTGTAAATCAATGGACTAGAAGAATTACCTGCAGATTCAATTATGTTCGTATTTCTACTGGCATTTCCACAAGATAAACACATAATTTTATAATGCACGCTGGGCCGTTCGGACGCACAAAGTCGTTTTTTTCGGGCGTTTTCAGAGACACATTTCTCTTTTTTAATATTATATATATCACTTATCCATCTAATAACCGATAGTAACGACATCGGAAAATAACGTCATCTGCTTAAGGTAATTCCTATTTAAATTTTACTTAGATTTGAATTATATTCGGAAAAAAACATAATACTTTAAATTCACAAACTTATTTACAAAGTTTACAACATTTTAAGCTCACTTTCTGCGATGGAAAAAGAGAGCGATTTTTACATAAAATTTAAGCTCAAACAATCAAAACCTAGCTAGTTTCACTTAGATTTTTACAACAAAAGTTTTTGTTTACAATATCATTTTTAAACATCTATCGAGATATAAAATCAGGTTGGTCGAGTGACCAAATTCCAAAGAGGCCGAAGAGCTTTATGGTAATTTTGATCACGTACCAACCCGTATTTATATTCCGATAGATGTTTTAAAACGATACCCTTTTTATTATGTTTACATTTATGACTTCTTTATAATATTTGCCTGAGGAGAATGGAAAATGGAATGCTTTATTTTTCAAAACTCAGTTGCACAAGTTCGATCCATTGAATGCACGTCAACCCTTTATGACGTCGCTGAGAAATTATGTGGAACATTTATGACGTGAGAAAAGAGTGTTTATACAGATATAGATACGCGTTGCTTAAATAGTGTTATATAAAAGAAAAAATTTGCAAATGTAAGTATTAGACCATTACAAATGAAAACGCCATTGTCCTCGAACTTTTTGGACAGCCCTCGTATGTTAACACGGACATCGTTTATGAATTACATGTGGACTGGGCTTCAATTTTTGCTGTACAGTACTATTCTGAATGGAGTTTAAATTACATGTACTGACACCATGTACAATACTATTATCATAGCCAGTTACAAATATAAAGAATTTTCTTACAGTGGAAGGATTATCAACACGAACGTTGATTTCTACAGGTCATTTACTTAAGAAACGAGTAGATTGACCTGATTTTAAAATGTCGACAACAAGCCCTGAGACTTTATCAATTATATACCTGCTGACGGACTATGATATAGGATTTGCCTTTACCAGGTATCAACTAGTCTAAGTTTATTGGATATTGGTAACAAAATTGACATAGCAATATAAATATTAAAAAAAAAAATATTGAGCTGGAAGATACAAGTAGATTATGATTCATATACAAGGTAGATTAAGATGGTTATTTTCCTCTTTTTTCACCTTTTTTTAATCTTAAAAATAAAAATCTTACACATTTATCTGTGATTAATTCAAGTTGCTAAATGAAAAAAGAACTTCTTTGAATTTCCTTTCTATCAAAACAAATAAAGCCTTTCATTTCGTAAACACAACATCTATCTAAATACGCCCTAGCTTCTGTTTCTTTTCCTAACAACAAGGGCATGTGGTCATACGTTAAGCGTCTCATTAAGATGCACATTAACCTCTTTCACTTAAATACATGTAGCAAAAACTGCAACTTTGAAAAGGGATGTGAAATTCTTTACCATAGAGAGAGATATACAAGTTTATTTTCAATTGATATTATAAATTCAATATATTTTCCTGTTTTAAAGGGATGAGTGAATGGAAAAAGGAATTTGTTTTATCTAGGTCAAAACACTATATAACAAGGATAGTAATTTCCACTAGATTCTATGAATTTTTCCTCAGTATATTAGATATTAGATATAAAGTACCTTACCTGCAAATACAAAGACAAAAACAGCTCTCATAGTGTAGTGCAAAACATGTGTAAATGTTCGTGTTATCGTTTTTGATTCACCTGTGCATTATAAAAAAAAATATTAATTTATGACGTAGTAAACTTATCTGTAAGGGTGTGCTTTTAATTTTTAAATATCCGAGATACATATTTAAAAGTGGAGTTTAAACTTTGATTTTATATTTTAAATTATTATTATTTTCCTTGTATATTGCGAAATGCACATTTCACAAGTTAACCTTAATACGATTATCGATTTTTTACCTGTTTAAATGATACATGACGTGGACAGTGTATCACTATAACATTGATAATCCACCATTAATTCGTTGGAATTAGTCATTTTTATGACCATCCTCATAAATTCTGTCTTATTATTCCATACATTTCTATATAAAACACAGCAACTCTGCAACATTCCAAATTCGTTGAAGACATAAAACCCTGGAGAAATGTATATATGTGGGTAATTTTTCGCATTTTGCATTGCTTGAACCCTATCAAATGTCCGTTTCCTAATCAAACATTCAAAAAAGGGATATCATATCTTACAATTCAAGAAGTTCCATGCTTTGTTTCATATAACTTTCTTTTGTCTCTGATGGTGTGTCCCAATATCTTTTTACTTAAAATTGTTTCGCCAAAAAGTAATTATTTGTCCTTAAACTAAAGATATTTAATCACAAAGTAATAAAAGTATATATTGAAGATAATCCTGGGAAATTTGGTTAAATACGTATGTATAAAATATGTATAATATTATTTCCTTTTTTCTATTTAAGTGGCTCTTTTCCCGCATTAATTTATCATATTCTTACATTAATTTTCACATTATGAGAAAATTTACATTTTTGTTCCTTTACACAAATTTATTATTAGGGGTTTCTTAAGCGTAAAATTTAAAATAAATTTACAACAGCTCTAAACCTATCGTAACTTTTTTTTAAAGCTGATTTCAATGTAAAATTAAAAAAAAAAACAAAAACTACAGTACATGTTGATTAATTGAACTTTGCTATGCACCTTACAATAGTATTGTATATTACTTCTAATTTCTATTGAAAACCAATAAAAAAAAAAAAAAAAAAAATAAAAAAAATTAAATTAAATTAAAAAAAAATAATAATAAAATAAAACAAAACAAAACAAAAAAAAAAAAAAAAACAAAAAAAAAAAAAAAAAACAGAAAACAAAAAAATTTAATGAAATAGTCTGCAAAATATTTACGATGAGGGTTTCCTTTAAGAGTATTCGATAACCTTGTTCTACATTAGAGTTGCGATTGTGACTCAGATTTCACTCGATGTTTGTTGTCAATAAATGTTTGTTTTACCTACAAGAGTTGAAACCTCGGTATATTTTTTTATCCACTTTTAAGGATGATAAAGTGTATTGATATCGTTGTTAAGGACGTTTGTCATAAATAAACCCTTAGGTTCAATCTGCTTCGAATGCATTTGTGAAAAGCAATTAAGTTTTGTCCTAAGAGAATGTAGAGTTAAAACTACACAAAAACGTCTTTTAAGGGCCATAGACTTTAGTGACTGTCTTTTTTCTTTTTTACCTCGATACACGTATGGGCATTTATCGTGTAATAAACGAGAGTATTTCAGTTTATGACATATTTTTCTAGAAAAATAAGGCATCTTTGATATGATCTTCACAAAAACTAAACGATGCTTATTTTTTCCCTGTTTAAAAAAAATATTTGAAATTCTCATGTTATAAGAATTTAAAACTTTGGAAGACAGACAATATGACATAATCGTACCTGTAAAGAAAGTCCCTACGTATATAATTTCTGAAAAGTATTCTAATTAATTTGGATTAGTTTTAATCGAGAACGGCAATTTGTCAACGTGTCCAAAAAAGAAATAGATACACAAATATTTTGTTCCCGAGTTCTTTAGCTTTAACAAATTCAGTTATAGTGAGGAAATTTTTTGAACTTATTTTATCTTTAATTTCCTTAAATATATTTCACGTAGTAGACGTTTGAAAACTAGACTGTTGTCAGAGAGATGGCTTGATGAACATCTATAAATTCTCTTAAATTAAAAATTACAATAGCAATGGTTTTCTTCATGATGCATTATTTTTTTTTCATAAAGAGTGGATTCCAAAGAAAAAATAGTTTAGATAAAAGAGGAAAAGTTATACACGATATACAGTTAAAATTCAAATTACACAATTATATGGCAAGATGTAGACTATTACTTCAAAAGGATAGAAAATTAGAGTTCTCGAATAAAACAGGCTGACGAATTGCAATCCAGGAGAATTGTTTTAAATAAAAGTTGGTAAAATCATCTATTTTTTAACTCAACTGAGCCGAAGGTTCAAGTTAGCTTTTCTGATCAAAATTTGTCCGTTTTCTGTCGTCGTTGTTGTCGTCGTGGTCGTTATTTTTATTTTTTTTTTTTTTACAATTTCATCTTCTTTTCCAGAACCACTGGTCCAATTTCAACCAACCTGCCACAAAGTAATCTTGGCTAAAGAGGATTACAGTTTGTTCAAATGAAGGGCCACGTCATCTTCCAAGGCTTCCAAGTCATCTTCCATAGTCCATTCAATATTTTTCCATAATCCAACGATGTGTTTGTTACCTCTTTTCCTCGATTTTCTGAGTTTAAATGTTCAGATAAGGGAAGGACGTGTTCTTTTTTCACAAATTTGTGAAGTACATTCCAAAGCCAAATTATTTCTCTTTGGGTTTGTGATCAAATGTTGAAGAAATTAGCTGAATCAAATGTATTTAAATAAACTATTTTAACATTATATTAACAGAAACTTTTAAAGTAATGAAATCTATAAGATAAGAGGAAAGCCCCTTTTCTAACCATCAGAGTAGTCTTTACAATGAAACATTGAAATAATTAACAGTATTCAAGCTCAAAGTCCATTAAATAATGCAAACGGGACAGAGCAAACACAGACCTCCAAAAACATAAAGTGGGATCAGCCACTGAGGATTGAGCATCCCCTGCCGACCGGTCACATCCGCTGTGTACTCCTTGTCATAACCAGGAAAAAACGGAAAAATCTGTAGACAATTCAGCGTGTAAATAATTGCCTTACAATTAATATGAAATATGTCAGACAATATTTGACTTAAAGATTTGTTTTATTTGCTGATGAGAACATTGTATCGACAATAAACTTGCAAAATGATGACTTCAAATGAGAAGTTTATATTGTTGTTTCATCAACTTGTTTGGCACAGATTGCCTAGTTTTAGAAATTGTTCATACGTAGACCATGTTCTTGCGTATCGAATCAACTGGGAGACAAAAACCCCACATGCAGTTGATAAGGGTATATTAGTACATCAGTAAGGGAAGTTGATGATTGAAAAATTAAAGTTATGATCACCTTTTTCATAAAGCTTTGTTGTTAGATTACCATTAATGTCTTTTTCTATCAAAATATCCAAAATTGCAACAGATATGTCAGACTCTGGTATCTTTTATTTCAAGCTCACTAGGGTATATCTAACCGACATTAAATGGAAGTAACTATTGTTAATTGATAATGCATTGTCGATATATCTAAACGTCGAGTTGATAAAGGCCACAGCAAGTGTTTTCTTCTTATGTAGAATTTTTTTAAAGTAAATTCTGCTTCATATGAATACAAAAATAGCTCTGCTAATAAAGAGGCCAATTTGGTACCCATGGGAATTCCAACAGATTGTTGGAAGATCCAATCTCCAAAAACTGCATAGATATTGTCAATCAGAAACTCAAGCTTCATTTTAATATCAACTTCAGAGTAGTTGTCTGTACACTCAGAATGTTTATAACAAAATAATTTTGCAATTGCAAATGACCAATGACAAGATACGTATATTTACGAGTTCCATTTTTATTGAAAAAGTAGCTGTCATTGATGTTATAAATCATTTACTTTCAAATCATTGAGATAAGATTCCATGGTCATTTTCAGTTAAGTTACTATTCTTTTTATAATCTGGATATTGTGCGTGCAATTTAAAACAAATCGTTACAGAAGGTAATTGATTTTCAGCGACATGCTATGATTTCGTATAAATGAAGATACATGAAGAATTTTTGTTTTCTTTTAATATAGGGAATTTTTTTTTTTTAACATTCCGTGCAATCTATTTTAAACGCTTATGCTGCTGAAAATTTTATCTTGAAATTTATAAATAAATGAAGCGACATTAAGATTTAGGAATACGCAATATTCTGTTCAGATCAAAATTTGAACGGCATATATATATCGCCAAATATTTACAAAACCACGAGTGTATGTTTAGTCCTAGAGTTGTAAACGATCTTTAAAATTATAGTTATGATATAAGAACGATAAATTTGTGAGAAAAAAAGGGGCATGTTTGTGTAGAAAAGCAATTCTATAAAGCAATAAAAGAATATAAATATACATTTTAACTTCAAATGTCATTTGATTATTGTTAACGAATTATTTTCATTCCATACTCAAGAGCATGCCCTGAGTACGATCTTTTTTTTTTTTTTTTTTACACCAAGGCAGGCTACCGACACATAAATTTGTGTGACGGGGATTTCAGCAACCTCGTTTCAACATTTCGTAGATTCTATGATCTTAAAAATCACATTGTTAGCAAATATAACTTAACATTATGTAGAATTTTCATTGACTCTTTTTATGCCGATTTTTAGGCCTTTGTTTTACACTATATATTTGACTGCTGACTGTTCCGTCTACTTGATCAATACATAGAGCTCACGGCGGATATGACCGTTTTACAGAGGATGCTTACTTCTCGTAGGCACTTAATCCCCACATCTAGAATTTTCGGAGGTCCATGCCTTATGCCCTGTTACATGTAACAGATTGTTTGATTTTTAGACCAATCACTGTTATTTTACCTTTTTTTCATTTTGTATGAAAAAAAAACTATCACAACATCTCAAAGTCTGTTTTCTATGTGGACGTCATAAAAAAAATAAAAATAATGAAAGTAAAGATTTCTTCTTTCAGTCAATATTTGGATTTGAACAATAAATTGAAAATAATTACTATATCTACAGACAGAACCATATTCATGCAAGTAGAGAACAACAGTGAACATCATTTTCTTTCTTTTAGATATACTTTAAGGTATTGGAATATTTTAAACAATAATAAAAGGAAAAACAATATATTTTTCGTCGCCTTCATTTTAGAATTAATTTACTCATTGCATTTTCATTTTTATTCTGACAAAAGCCAATGTAGTTCTATTAGAATTTAATGAAAAATGATGAGGCACTAATAATTAATAAAGTTCATGACTTTTGTTGAAAGAAAAAAAAGAAAGGAAGAAAAGTTAAGGTTGCGTTATGATTTAATTAGATTCCCTTTGATATTTCTAGCTTCTAAAAGTGCGGGGTTGTTTTTGTCTTTTCTTTTGAAAACGTAACGCAAAAATGCTTGGGGCAAATTCTAATTAACTACAATGTACGTCGTAGAATTTTCAGGTAAACTCATTACTAGGCAAAAGCGCTATCAAAAAGAAATAAGGGGTTTTCATAGTGTTGTTCCCAAAATTTATAAAGTGGACACTTTCATTTAGTATATATTTTTATCAGATGCTTGATCATTTATTACATTTTCTACTATGAAATTTTTGTAATTCATTTATTGAATAAAAAGAATTTTGTCACAGTTTTAAAGAATATTAGAAGTGCATCAAAACTCCACATTTCCCTCCCCCTACAAAGATTGTTGTATGTACAATTTCTCAAACGAGGTAAATTATTGACAAACAAGTTGATGAAACAAGAATATCAGCAGTCTCGTTTAAAGTCATCATTTCGTAAGTTATATGGTCGATACAAAGACCTTGTCAGCAAATACAATTTATCATTGAGTCAAATGCTGACTGACGTTTTTCATACTAATTGTTATGCCATTATTTACACACTGAATTGTCGACGGATTTTTTCGTTTTTTCCCGATCATGACAAGGAGCACACAGCGGCTGTGACCGGTCGGCAGGGGATGCTCACTCCTCCATGGCACCTGATCCCACCTCTGATGTTTGGAGGTCCGTGTTTGCTCTGCTTCTATTTTGCATTGTTTAATGGACTTATGAGCTTGAATACTGTTGGTTATCTCCATATATTTCATTGTAAAATACAGCCTGTTATAAGATAGAATTATCAAATTGTCCCAACAGATACATGTACTACAACTGCGAAAGTTTCTCCAAATATGTTGTCTAAATCTCTGATTACAATGCTTTTAATCACACAATATCTGCGTTATGACATCTCAACCGCTAAATTGATGTCACAGTCTATGACACTGTGTTCTGTATATGAATTACATATTGACCCCAGGTCTCTGCTTGTGAACTGTTAGTCCCCAAGGGTCTCTACAGCCTAGTACATGTACCTAAGTACTTCGGTACTAGCTTGTAAATTTAGATATATATTTAATTGTTGTGGTAAAATTTAGAAATTTATTTCAAAATTAAGGATTACCTCTCTCCTGCATAACTCTGATCGTTCGACGTGACGTTTGGTTCCAGTCTTTGGCACCCTTTTCAGCTTCTCAAAGTCTTTTAAAATTTTATTTAAATATTATTGATTTCCAACGTTTCGACAAGAGCATCACTGAAGAGACATAATTTGTCGATGAGCGCATATGGTGCATCAAAACTGGTACCGTATATGATTTACATCCTAAATGACAGAGGCAAACGGAATAACAAAGAAAATGTAACAAACAGAAAATTCAATATTTTGTAGTTGAACATTGAATTTTGTAATTGTACATGGATATATCATATAAATAAACCTCTTTTTTTCAAAAAGTATGAAAATATCCACTCCAGTCATGTTTTTATAAGTAAAATGAGTAACCTTAGCCGTATGGATTTTAATTATCTTTAACAATTTCACAAAAATGTCCTACAAAGTGATTCAAAGGAAGTAATGCATCAATAAATCTTATTAAAGGATTGTGATGTATTATTTCTTAATGTTTATGGGTAAAAGACATCGTTGACCTACTTTAATTAGCCTTTCTGTCGGCTCCGTTTTTCTCATTTATTTTTTATATTATGAACTGCTTTTAGTTACGCTCTAAGGATAAAGATAAAAACATAAGTATTAATTAGTTAAGCTCTTTATAATACTACCCATTGGTTAATTACAACACTTTTAGTTTAATTCCTTTTTCACTTATGAGTAATAAACTTTTTAAGTGCAAAAAAAGCAGAGAAAAAATATCATGATGTGTCAATACTTCTTTTGTATCGATATTCATGCACGTTTGAGATAATATCATGGCATAAAACATTTTTATTTTAAAGAAAATTAATCAAATACATCCTTTCAAAAGTGCTCTATTCATGATTCGCTATGTGATTAATATTTTTCTGTACTTTACTTGAAATCGGTGTTTCATCATACATCATATTTAAATGTTGTTCACGGATTTTAAAACTGACGAATTAAATATAAAATACAAAATAAAAATTGCTTCATACGTAGTATGTCAAGGGATCGACAAAAAGTGTTTCAGTTAAAACCATACATCTGTTCTGAAATTTATCTCTTTGCTCAGAAGCTGAGTTAACTTCTGTGTTTGTAATGACTTCAGCAGACCTATTCCTTGTGTCTGTTATTGTGCTGGCTGCAAGCAGGATTTGTCCAAATATCATTTAGAGGTCCAGTGGTACATTGCATGTCATTTGTAACAACATGTAATTAATGCAAATTTGTAGCGTGTTTTCTATGTTATCAGAATTTATGATACAAATTCAAATTCTTTCAAATTGAAAATGTAACAAATTTTTGTGGTCCATTTCTCTTGAAGACGCAATTACACATACATTTTTGTATATAAAGTTTGTAATTTCGTAGAGATGACTTGATGATACATTTGTACATTCCTTTTTATAAAAAAAATGCAATAGCATTATCAAAAAATGCAATAGCATTTTTTTCTTTAATATGCATCATTTTTGACATAAATATTGAATGTAAAAAAAAATACTGATACAGGATAACAGAAAATGGTAACTTGGTATATACGAGGGTTGTCCGTAAAGTTCGTGGACAAGCTAAAATTTAAATAAAAGTTGTGTCGTAGATATCTATTATTAGCATATTTATAATCCTTTATTATATGTGAATTACAAAATGAAAAAA